TCCACAAAAATAACTCAGGCTGCTTTGCTGAACCATCCTGTCCACCAGGGGCGCTGCTGAGGCTGTCTGCCTGGAAGGGTCACCAATGGGCGCGGAAAATCCTCACTCTAATGGATCCGGCCATCGCCGCTGCGGGGAGGGATCTTTGCTGCCATGGCAAGGGGGTACTGGAAGCCATACTGCTGCTGGGCGGAGGGGGTGGCGGAGGCTGCTGCGGAGGCTGCTGCTGCCATGGGGGAAGAGGACCAGAGGGAGGGGGCGGGGGGTGCCCACTGGGAGGCGGCGGCGGTGGCGGCATCATGCCCATAGGCGGAGGCGGCATCATACCTTTTCCTTGATGCAGGCGATAGACCCCAGAGCCCACAGGCGTACTTCCCAGGTACTGATCCATTGGAGGAGGGCCACGGTGCCCAGGTGGGTGGGGGCCCTGGTTCATCCGTGGTGGTGGTGGCTGCATCCAAGGGGGTGGGGGTCCATTTGGGTTGTGCTGCATGGGATGTCCACCATGCCCCCCTGTCAGGCTGGGTGTGGGAAGCTGTGGGGGCCACCTCCAGGCCCGCCAGGACCACCTCCATGCATGCCATGATAAGGCCGACTCTCTGAAGGGCCAGAATTCATCCAGGGTGGGCGGCTCTGGGTGGTGGACATGAGAGACGGTGGAGGTGGGTTGTTGGCAGGAGCAGCAGGCCGAGGTGCACTAGCCAAGGGTGTGGTCGCAGGCCAAGAGGTGGAGCCCACAGATGCTGGGACAGGGGCTTCCCCAAGTTCAGCCATCAAGGACAAATATTCTTTATCCATCCGTGCTTTATCCTGAGCTGACTGGGGGTCACCAGGCCTTTGAAACTTGCAATCTGAAGCAATGTGGCCAGCTCCTCCACACTTGGTACACACTGTAGTATTGGTAATGCTGCGGGTCTCTGAGCTCTGCCAGGGTCTTAAGATTCTGTTATCATCTTCCCGAAGGGTACCATTCAAGCGAGCCAATTCTCGAAGCTGCATCTTCCGTAGATCATTCTGGTCCTCTGGGGTCTCAATACCTTGCTTCAGGATGTTTCTGATCTGCTCTACTGCCTTTTTAACATTCTCCATTGTATTGGCAGTGACTAGGGCATGAAGTGGTTCATCTTCCCCTGGCAACATCTGGCCATCTTTGCGCCCAACCATCCCTTCTTTCACAGACCCTTTCCCCCAGATCATGATCTTGGCGTTGCACTCCTTCTCAATATTCTTCACGGTGTTCCCTCTGGGCCCAATTAGTAGCCCAACAAAGTTGATTTCTGGATACTCATCTTGAGGGATCATTACTTTATCACTCACACGTGTTGCTGGAGGTTTATAATCTGCAGGTGGCTTGAAATCAGGGTTGAGGGCAACCATCTCTGTGATGAGGTTGTGCCGCTCCTCTTCCAGCTTTTTGCGGGTACGGAACTCTCTGGTGTTAAGTTGCTTCCCCTCACTATTGTAGATGGGCTCAGGGGAAGGGGACCTATGTAAGCTCTCTCTTGTTCCCGAGTAAGTCCAGGGGGAATAACAGTAGGCATTCCTGGAATCACTGTCTTCTGTTCCATTGTATCTTGATTCCATCTGCTCCGTTTCCGCTTCTTACTTGGGAAGTCTGAAGCCTTCCAACCTCTTCCACATCAGTGGAAACACAGTTTATTGTAAAAAATAGAGATTCCTGCTACTTGTTTCCCTTTCAGATTCCTCTAAGACCAGAATGAGAGCTGCTCTTCATCGACAGTGAACCCCTCTCCGGCCTGCACCCTTACACCCTGCACCTGCGTGGACCCCAGGTCCTTTGGTTTGGGCGGCCCTAAATATATTTTTATATTTAGAAACTTTTAATAATTTTTAATCCATTGATCCTTCTATCTATTTGCACCTTGAAATAACCCTTATACATTTCTGAATTTAGATAAATTAACCCATTTTAATAAGATGAAATATTTTGTTATTTACAGTACTTTAATTGAAATGCAGTTGAAACCTCTTGACTCCTTGTATGTAGAATTATACCTGTTGGGACTTTTAATTTATAGTAACCTTGTTTTTATGATAACACAAAATAATTTCAAATTTCTTTTTATTTTACCAATTTATGAAAACATCAACATTAAGTATTTTACCTTATGGAATTTAAGGAGTTAAGAGTACTTGATATTATATTTAACAGTTAGCCTCTTAACTTTGTAAAATAATTAGATGTCTCTAACAAACACATCCATGATTAATTTCATATACGTTTAGATGTAATTTACATGTCTTTTTTAAAAACAAGGTATCAGACAAGTGTATTGAATAGTATTAGTAATCTTTTTTTTCCTGTTGAAGAAAAATCTGAGACACAATAGATATCAGACACTTTAAAGTCATTAACATTCAACAGATATTTAACCATCTGGAAACAAAACTGTGCATTAGTAACTTTAAAAACATTTGTACTTTTATTTATTTTCCCAATTTAAATTGAACCTTTAAAATCATATTAACCAAAGGTATTTGGATCCATTTTTAAATTTTAATTTATGAGCTCATATGTCAGTTTTTTGTACCAATTATATGTAGACATGGCAATACATGAAGACAGTACACAAGTGCACCTACACAAAGCAAACAAACAAACAAAAGCCTTGTAGCTTATTTTTTAAAACCTATTAGATTGAGAGTTAACCCTTGTAAATTGGCCTTAGAATAAAGCAGAGTGTAATCAGAAAAACATATTAACCTAGGCGTATTGGATCAAAATTATGAATTTAACAAATATAGAATTTTAAAAGTTTTCTGACCTTTTTCCTGAGGTGGTCCTGTTCATCAAAGCTGAAAAGAGTTAAGGGAACATAGACAAATGAAGGGTCTTATTTTTTTCCTGAAGGAACTTCCCAAAGACGCAGCTCCATTGGTCTCCTTGGGAGAGTCCCTCAGGTTGGGGTCCCATTCTAAACTGGTTTTTCTGGTTTCTTGGATAGCTGCCAACAAATTTTAGCCTGACATTGAAAAATCTTTGAACCATTTTTTAATAGTTGGGAATTATTCATGCTTGCAAATAATGAGAGACAAAAGCCAAATTTCCTAGACAAAAATATGCTTTTTATTATACAATTTAGGAATAATAATTTTATAAAACATTTTAGTTTTAATCTGTCCTCTATAGGAACTGACGTGATTTACTCAGTTGGCCACTTAGCCCAGTTCCTAAATGAAGGCAATCTCCAGAATGCTTTTTTTTTTTTAACCTTTAGCTTTTACTTTTTTTTAAGAGAGCGAGAGAGATAGAGCGATAGAATTTTTAATATTTATTTTTTAGTTTTCGGCGGACACAACATCTTTATTTGTATGTGGTGCTGAGGATCGAACCCAGGCCGCAAGCATGCCAGGGGAGCGTGCTACCGCTTGAGCCACATCCCCAGCCCCTAGCTTTTACTTTTGACATTTTTTTAGTCCTGTTGGCAGCACTTTACATTTTAATGCAAGCTGTAGTGAGTACAGTTAAAACTGTTTTGACCATTGTTTTTCCATCAGAAACAAACTGAGGTAGAAATTAACACAGAACATAAAGGGGACAAACAAAAACAAACCAACAGACAAAGTCCTGAAAATTGTTAAGAAAACAAGATAAACGGGTCCAGGTAGAGATCTCTGTAGCGCCTCCTTGCCTCATGATGTCAGTGGAGGAAAGGAGTCCTGATGAAAGAAGAGCGGGTATGAGAACACGAAAAGGGCCCACGCAGAACACACAACAAGACAAACGGCCAGTGAACAGACACTGGACAAATGACAAATAGCAAAATAGACACAGGACCAGCAACAATTGATGAGGTCACACAGGGAGACCTCTAATGGGACAGAGATCACGACTCGTCCTGCTCCCAGACAGATGAGGCCCCGCAGGGAGGCCTCCAGTGGGACAGAGACAACATCTCGTCCTGCCCCCAGATACAGACAGATGAGGTCACACAGGGAGGCCTCCAGGGAGACAGTGACAAAGTCTCATCTGGTCTTGGGAAAGGTGTAAGCGGCTGCTCCAATCTGACCTTTTCCCCAGAGGAGTGGACTCACCAGAACTGACAGGCAGGCAGGAGGCTTTTCAGAGCGTCTAGGATAGATTGGAGTTGTCCTCAGAGTGAGGCTGAGGAACGTCTCTCAGGAGCTCCCCTCTACTCCAGGGCCGAGGTCCAAAGGCCCGTCATTGGAGGCAAATTTGGCGTGAGGGTAGGGAAGAAATGGATCCTGGGAGAGCCCCCAGATGTTATAGTTAAAGCTTCATCCCAGGGTTTCATAAACTGACTTCCAGACCACTCACATATAATCGAATCAAGCCTTTATTGAAGCACACCGGTGGCGGCTGACCAGAACATAAAGCTGTTCCCCTGATCAGCCCCAAACAATTGCAAGGGCACTCCTTATAAGCCTGAAAACCGCAAAAGGGATGTTTGAGGGTCTAGCCAATGCAAGCAAGCCAGGTTACAGAAGGGGAAGAGTGCAGTCAAGCGGAGGGAAGCCTAACCAGTCACAGTTAGCCCAGTCAACCCAGTTACAGAAACAGAGCCCCGATACCCTAGTTACAGAAACAATGTCCCATAGGTAGTTCTGTGTTCTTAAAGTGGTCTATAACTCCAATAGCAGGTATTGTGGAAGTCAACCTTCTTTGATAGGGAGAAAAGTGGTGACCACAGCATGCACAGCCCTTGTGTCCCATCTGTGGTTTGAGGACCAAGCCCTATGCTCACCTTCCAGGCACAAACTGGGATTAGTGCTGCTGTAACTGCTGGTACCAGTTAAGTCCTGTCAATCTCTCCTGGCTCTGAGCACACTTGCTTGCTTGTTACTGCCCTTCCTTTCCTCCCTTCCTCTTTCCTTTTCTTTCCTAAAGTATAATTGGCTTACCATAAAATTCACACATCATAAGCATCAATTCAATGATATTTGGTAGATTTATACAATCTTATAATCATCACAATCCAGTTTTAGAACTTTTCCATCACCTCCAAAATTCCCTTCAAGTCCACTTGTAATCATTCTTACTCCTTATCCTGTAGCCCAGGCACCACTGACCTTTCTATAGATACACCTTTTCTGGAAATTTCATTTAAAAGGAGTTGAACAATATGTAGTCTTGTTCATGAGGAAAAGAAGAGGAACTTTGCCTTAGGAGTGTCAGCACAGAAGATGTCAAGGAGAAAGATGAACCCCCCTCCTTTAGTCCAGTGAAGTAACTGGGAAGGGTACATGACCAGGATAAAGAGGAGGTCCCCCAAATCCTCAATGAAGTAATGATAGAACGTGAACAATGCAAAGAGAGTACAATGATGTAATAAGGACAAGGACCACCCTATCATTGTAGTGCTGAACTCATTCAGGAGATGGCAAAAAGGCAAAGGAAATGGGTTGTACTGTGGCAGAAGCCCTCTTCTTCAAAGAGGAGGTGGCACGGCTAGCACCTACGTGCGCAGGTGCAACTACATTCAACTTGATGTGGCCAGAACAGCAGTATGCATGCACAACTCCAGTAACCATGTGCCCTTGAGTTCCCTAGCCAAAGAGAAAGCGACCTGGCACACTCTGGGCACCTGTACAACTCTGCAGATACTCAAGGCAGATGCACAACTCTGCTGACCCCTCACCCCCAGTGCCAGTATATAGTGGGGAGGGTGGAGAGAGAGGCTAGCAGGGGCTATATAAGGCAAAGTCCCAGCTGCATTAGGGGGCTCAGCCTTTGGATGTTAGTCCTACAAGTTCCATGCCAACAGGAAATAAATACTGCTTCCTGTTAAATGATAGTACCATGTCTGTATATACGAATCCCACAACACTATATCATCAGTTCATTATAGCAATTGGACAGAGGATGTGAATGTGGCAAACAGTAGAATTTCCCAATAAATACAGTGGTGTATCTAGCCAGGGAATGTGGAAAAGGAAAAGAGGAAAAGCCCTACACCAAGTACAGTGGTGTAACTATGTGAAAATGCAAAGAGGTGGTTCCCCGAATCTTTCAAAAATTAGTAAATCTAGGCAGGAAGAGAAGTGATCAGGGAAATTGGGAGAAACTTCTCACCATCAGTGTAGTGGAGGAACTACACAGGGTTGCAGACAGACAAAAAGGAAGAATGCAGTAGCATCACAGCAGTGGAATAATTGGACAGCAATAGTGATCCGAATAGATAGTTCCTGATCCATCAATTCAATGGTATAACTAAGAAGTGGGTGGGAACAAGGCCAAGAGAAGTCATACCATCAGGGTAGGGGGCCCACAGACAAGGGATATGAATAGGGCCAAGAAGAAGAACCCCACACATGACCAATGGTATAGCTTGAGAAGCTTTCTGAAAGTCAGCAATTAAAATCTCCAAACCTTATGGGTGCAGAAAGAAGGAAACCTGCACCACCAGTTCCAGGATGGAAGATCAGTACAGGAAGTAGGAACATCATCAATATAATGGGAACTCTGGACAGGAAATGTGATCACAGCAAAGAAAAGGGGCCCAGCACTATCAGTGTGGTAGTGTAATTGGCAAGGTCTGTGAGTGGTAGAAGAGAATGAAATTCTTTCCCATAAGTACAGGGTACAGTGAAAGGCATGTTAACAAGGCTAAGATAAAAAAGCTCTGATGCCCCATTTCTGTGATGCAACAGGGTACATTATTGAGATAAACAGATTAACACCTGCAACTATCAGCCCTCAGTGTAGTGGTGCAACTGTACAGGTAAAGAGGAGGATGCAGTATCATCTCTCATCAGAGGAGAATGGGAACAGGGCCGAGGACACAGAGATGTGAACAGAGAATAGAAAAGAGAAACATCTTGATCAATAGTT